TCATCAGCATCATCAGCATCGTCATCGTTAGCATCATCAGCATCATCAGCGTCACCATCACCACCACCATCACCCTCACCATCACCAGCATCATCATCGTCAGCATCATCATAGTACGCATCATCAGAAGCAGCATAAGCAGCATCATCAGCAGTATCATCGTCGTGCTCACCATCAGCATCAGCATCACAATCATCGTCATCGTAAGCACCCTTATCACCATCATCGTCGGTATCAACAGCATCATCATCAGCAGCAGCATCAGTGTCGTCGTCATGGTCATCGTCATCATCGTCATTCGCATCGCCATCGTCATCACAACTCGACGGCCATGGAATTGCATAATACGGACACTCGCGTCACTGCGCGAATTGACTGGTGCCAAGAAGTTGCGGGTGGGTGGTGGGATCGTTGCTCGAGCATTGGAACTGGCGGCTCCAAGTTCTTCGATTAATACTTGTACCACCAAGAGTTCAAACATGCACCACACATGTTACACCACATGCGCTGGATTCCACAGAGATCATGCACTCCACCTGTTGCATCGAACATTGTGCATCGCATCGCTTACACAACCCGCACTGCACCACATAGGGCCCGCTAGACGCATTGCACCACATATTTTGCATCTCACAGATAGCTCTTGCATCAACTAGGGTGTACAGCGAGAGTGCAAGAACCCGCTGTTTGAGGCTCACGCTGGTAAAAACCTCGGTGCAATCTTTTTCCCAAACCGTGCTTGCACTAAGGGGTTCTCACGTGCTCTCTAATCCAGCTGCCTGCGGCAGCCGTGCAGCGTGACCCGCGGCAGTTCAGCACGCGGTCTGAACTGGAGTGGGTCTTAAACTCGACCTTGTTCCCTCGACTACTGGGGGCCTCTGGGGGGCCTCTCAGAGGCCTCCTGGGGAGTCCTGGGTGCCTCTTGGGGCAGGCCGTCTGAAGGCTCTCTTGGCCCGTCTGACGCCTTCGGAGGCCGACTTGGGGGGGGTCGCCACCCAAACACGCTTTCACTCCCCGCGCGTCCGGCGCGGTCCCCGCGCGGTTCCGGAACCCCGCGCGGCTCCCAGTTCCCAAAATGGCCGCCTCTCTGGGCCGCCTTGACGTCCTCTCGGGGCGAATTTGGGCTGTTTTGGAATTCTCCTGGGACATCTTGGGCCTATGGGCGCCGTCTTGGGGACCTGCTGGGCTGTCTTGGGGCCCTCTTGGCGCATCTTGGGGGCCTCTCGAGCCGTCCAGGTCTTGCGGAAGCCCGAAAGAGCGGGAACGCAAAAATCATTGAGAACCAATCGGGAACCAAAGCTGTTGATTTCTTCGGGCACTCCTGGAGGGCCTCTTTGAACCCTCGTGGGCTATATAGGGGGACTCTCGGGTCGTCTTGCCACAATCGAGGCATCTTGGACCAGCCTGGAGGCATCTTGAGGCCATCTTGGATCATCTCAGTTGTCACGGAGCTTACCAGAAAGAAGCGCCCGAAATAATAACTAAGGGGAGCGACGTTCCAAGGCAGCGTACGACGAAGGGGGTCGGCCGCATAAAACACTAAAAAACTCCACGAGGCAGCATCGGAGCAGTTTAACGCGCCCCACCGTGCCGAGGGCACGGCGACAGATGAAGTGATCCTGATGATCAGGATTCCCTAGTGTTGCTGGCCGCTCTTTGCAATTGCTGGACGCAAGGGCCCACCCTATCTGGTTCCACACGCTAATGCTCCACACGCTGGCGCTCCACACCATAGGGTCCCACGGCATAGGGTCACACCCCGTGGAGTCCCGCACGACAGGTTCTGACACTCTGGGGCTCCACACTGTAAGGTCCCACGCGAGAAGATCCCACACGATGGGGCCACACACCATGGGTCCCACAAGATACGGTCCAACAGATTACGGTCCCCCACTCCAGCTTCCCATGCGAAAGCTATGGTCTGAAAACATGGGGCCTCACAAGATAGGGTCCCAGACGACAACGTCCGACGCCATGCGCCACGGTGCCGCGAGGCACTGAGCGGAGTGGCCCCAAGTCTCTTCGAGCTATACTATTCCCCAAGGGGCCCATGGCCCCAACTCACGGATGCCCTTTGCAAGGGGCCCCGGACCCAAGCTCACGGATCTCCTGGGCGCTCCCGGGGCGCCGCGCACGTCTTCTCCCGAAGCCAAAAGCCGTGAAAAGCACTACGCTGTTGAACAACTTCGGCTCCAGAAGTGGGAACCCGACTTGGCCCCACGAGCCAAATTGTGCCGAGATGGCCCCCGAGACCGCCAAGATGCCCCCTAAGAGGCCCTGGCCCCAGTGGCTCCCAAGAGGCCCCCAAAAGAGGCCCCCAGGAGACCCTGGCGAGGCCCCCCAAACCCCGAGAGGCCTCAAGAGGCCTCCAAGGAGCCCTCAAGTCCTCCTCCTCCTCCTCCTCCTCCTCCTCCTCCTCCTCCTCCTCCTCCTCCTCCTCCTCCTCCTCCTCCTCCTCCTCCTCCTCCTTTTTTGAGGCCTCAAGAGGCCTCCAAGGAGC